TTAAAAACCCTATATAAAAATGAGATTAAAAAAATAATTAAAAGCACAATACAAAAACTATGGTTTACAAGACTTGGACAGTTTTGAGTCTGAAAATCACAGCAATTTGTCACTAGTTTGCAGTTTGAGGAGGGAATGTCCCTTTCAGACTGAATCACCATAAAACAAGCACAAGTTGCCTGATCCTTTTGTTCCTCTCACTGCTTTTTAGGGATTTTTTTTTTGTCCTGAACTGAAGAAGGGTTTTCTCCTGCATCCCTTACATATCCCACCTGGCTTCATTCACAAGGACAAATGAGGTGTTTGCTCATGTCTAATGTCTGCCCATCCCTAAGGCTGTAGGACATCTTGTTGAAAAGTTTAAGAGGACCCATTAGCCCTGTCTAGTTTTCCCCTACTTAATTTTTGGTGTATTATATCCAGTCTCCTCACTTTCATTCTCCTAGATTCTTCAGAGCAGTCTCTGTTGATTTGTTTACTTCTAGTTTATTTTTAAAAGACAAACCCCCAATGGACATAAGCTCTCGAGTCCCTTTTGAAAATGCTGTCTTCTCTGTAAGTGCTTTGTTTGTGATCCTCTCCAATCCTTTAGGCTATTGTTTACAAGCTGGAAGGCATCTGCACTTGGGCTAATCATGCCGAACGCCAGCAATTCCCCCAGCATGATTTGTTGCACAAGCCAGTGGGAGCAGGGTTTGTTTTGATTACATTTAGTATGGAAAACCCACATTTTGCTCATATCAGCCTGACAAAACAGGGAGGCCTAATCCAAAATCTTCAGAGAGGAACAATAACCTGGTCATTGATTTCAGTGGCATCTGGGACCAGCTCAAAGATCAAGAGCTCTGATGGCAAGGGTAGTGTCTTGGAAAAGCAGGTAGCTCAGGAGCCAAAAATATTTAAAAGTGTATGCAAGTCATTTGCTCTGGGATGGATGAGCCTAGCAGCCCGCCTAGTGCTTTGCTTCTCAAAGCTCTGCAGCTCCTTTCTGACATGCAGTTAGTCAGGCTGGGAGCCCCCAGCTCTGCCCTCACCAGCCATCACCTCGGGCTGATGCTGGCCTCCCCCAGTGCCCTCAGCTGACAATTCAGGCTCCTTCACTCATTCTGAATGATGGTGATGTTTTTATCCTCAGCCTGTGCTGATGCTTGCCTCCAGGCATCAGATGGGTGTCCCAATTTTTCTGCTTGTGAAAGCTGGGAAGAAGTGCCCGAGGGCTGCTCCCTTTGGGGCTGCCATCGAACTGCTGGGGCACGCAACTGCACTGCAGGGGTGGCTGTACAGGTCTGCCAGGTGCAGACCCCTCTGTCTCGAGAGGCCCAGCACAGTTCTGGGAGCTCAGCACAGCTGTCCCTCACCCAGCCACCGGCTCAGCTGGCCTGGGCTGCCCCTGTGCTGCTGAGCCTCAGGCTGAGCCTAGGCTGGCTTGTTCCCACACTCCTGCCATAGCAGAGCTCTGCTCTACAAGGCACAGAACTCAAAAGCTCCACCTGGGTCCTGCCTCTCCCGACTCTGCTTTTCCTCCTCCAGAGGTGCTCCATCAATCACCTTTAATCCCTTTCTGTACCCACATAGAGGTTAGCCTTGCTGGTGGCCTGTGGCAGAGATTTCCACAGCTTAAGCTACTACATGTCACATGAAGAAACGTCTCCTTTTGAGTCTTGAAGTATTTCATCAGACGCCTCCCTGGATTTTTAAGAAAACACATGGTCACCTACTCCATGGCATTTAGGCTTTACAGATCTCTGCCACAGACCTCAGCCATCTCTTTTCTGGCTGAAGAGTCCTACTATCGAGCCAACCTTTGCACAGGAAGCGTTTGGAAGTACTTTGCTTTGCCTGAATCAAAACCTCAGCTCCGCCAGCCCCAGCTGAGATCAGAAGGCAGCAGGAGTCTGCCAAGACCCAGGCAGCTCTGCAGGGAGGCATCAGGAGTTTCAGAGTGACTCTGCCACATCTCCCTCTCCCTCTGACACCTGCTTTCTCTCTGAAGGCTGCCCTCAGTAGCCCAGCCTTTGCACCAGGGAATGGCACAGGGCAGGCAGAAAGCTCCAGTGCGTGCAGTTTTAACTGTACAGATGCCAAACATCTAAGGAACTGGGGCAAAATGAGCTCAGTCAGGCAAAGCCATCACATTCCCCTAACCAAGGTGCGTTGTCAATTAAGGGGTTTTGCACACTTAAAGACCAATAACACAAAAACATGTTTTCAGAGGGACATCAGGGTAAGGGTCAAAACGGAGATCCTGTGTGTACACAGGCTTTATCTGAAGCTTGACTACCTAAGAGTTCATTTCCCTATCAATGAAGAAGAGCAGATGTTAACACATTTTTAAAGTGTTTTTGCACAAACTTGTGTCTTTTGGTGAATCCTGATCCCTAATGACATACAGACCTTCATGTCAGAGGTAATCAAGTATTATTACAAGAGCTGATGGCTGTGGGGCCCCTCCTGAGCACACACATGGGTACATATGGAAGTTATTAGCAAGTTCCAGTGAAGAATTTCGGGAAATTAACCCTTGGGGCCCCAGAGCATTACCAACACACAGCTGGTTGGGAGCAGACAAAGAGCAGTTTCCTGCTGGATGCCTGCAGCATATGGGGACTGAGATCCAGACCCTTCACAGCATGGTAGAGGAAGCCCCTCTCACAAGCACTAAACTTTTCAACTTCTGCTGTTAGGAAGAACACTTGAAAAAAACCATCTGCAAAGCCTGTGTAAGTTTCCTCAACAAAGTGAAATGAGTCAGCTGGAGAAATGTATAACATAACATATAAAAATGCAAACAATTTTCTTCTATTCCCCAAATGGTGCTCAAGAGGTTGTGAGGAAGTTTGCAATTTCTTTTTAAGTCCCCTTAGGAGCCACCAAAAGAAACATTTGGATACAGACCACCAGGAGCTACTCCTACGTGACAGAGGGACCCATTCAGAGGCAGGGTCATTAAAGTGAACATCTCCCTCTAATGAAAGCAGCAGGATAGCGTTACCCCATGGAAGTAAATTCTTACCCTTTTGCTTTGTACATCTTTTTTCTCAAGAGCTGAAAGAAAAAGGTTTCATTTCCAACATCCAAGCAGAGAACGAAGGATTCTAATGTTTGCCTCAGCCAATGCACTTTTCACTTTCCTGTTCTTTCTACATTGATTTCCTTTCTTGCACCAATCCTGATCTGCAGAGTGACCTCTCCTTGGGAATAATGAGGATACTCACACATGATGTGCTTTCAACTTCCACAATATAACAATGCTTGGCAGTAATTCACTGCTTTTCATCCACAGATCTCAAATCAATTCGCTGCAGCACTGCATGGAATTGACTTACTTGTAAGACTGAGACAACTGCTTGCTGCGCAATTAAACAAAAAAAAAAAAAAAAAAAAAAAAGTAGACTTTATTAAAATCCAAACTATTTCTTTCTCCCATGGTGTGATTTTCCTAAAGTGCAATCCAGGCTGAAAATAGGGCTCCTCTGCTGCCCCCAGCTACACAACCCAAGATGCTCATTTGCGGCCAAATGAGAACAGTTCACAGCCAGGTCAGAGCAATACTGTCAGAAAGCTCTTCCCTCAGTGAGGTATAACCGTGGCCAGAAAACAGAAGCATTCCTGTGCTCAGTTCTAAACATGGAAGAAATTATACTGCTCCTCCACCCCCCTGCTTTCTGAAGGGAAGGCAGGAAGGGAGCCAAGGCACCTCAGCAGACACCTTCAAGAAAGCAAAGGATCGAGGGGTGGACATGATGCCTGAGCCAGCAGATCCAGTCCCACTCTTCCATGGCAGAGAGGGAGGGCAGCTCTGTGGCTGACCCTGCTGAGGCAGGGGCTTCACCCAAGAGCCTGGCAATGGTCCCAGAGGTGCCCAGAGCCACCTGAGATGCTGGCAGCAAGCAACACTGTGCCCACATGTCAGCCACCCCAGGGCACACGACCTGCAGAAATGAACAATCCCAACTCCTGCTTTTGCACTGGGCTGAGATGCAGTAGCTGCAGGGCCACCGAGCTGCCTCTGGCCTCCCTGCAGCTGGAAGGAGCACGCAGCAAGGACAAGATCACCACTTCCCTGACACTTACCTAACCACCTTGGTTGATAAGCCAATGCCCTGAGACAGCAGCCAGGCACCTCACTGCCAGCAGAGCAACAAAGCCCTCCAGAGAATAATTCAGAATGTCTAAGTTAGGCTCCTGTGATGAATCACAGCCTGTATCTCTCTCTGTGCCGACCACACACTTTAGTTCCTCAGATAAAACAGCTGAAGACAATAGAGAAAGTCACTGTACTCTCTTCCCCTCTTCAGCTTTTTTCTTCCACAGGTCTGAAGAGAAAAGTCAGCATGAGCAAAGCAGGCTGCCTGCCCAGCTACGGATGTTTAGCAGCCTTTAAAATGGTTTGGCTCAGAAATTCAGAGTATCTGAATTTCTTCTTTCATGTAGCTGTTTTCAGTCACTTATTTTGAAGACATCACACCGACTATCCCTGAAATGAACCATGACCCTGTTTAAGCCAACTGTGTTCCTCCCATTTATACTCTTACTCACCAGTTAAGTTCTCTGATGCTGTGCCCAGTTCTAAGATCTTGAATTACTCTTTTTTTCTTTCAAACACTCAGTACAAATTTTAAGGTACTAAAAAAACTTTCTAAAAATGTAGGGCTGACATTTTCAGAAGTATTCTCTGTTTAGAAAATTCTTCACTATATTACACTACAAGATGAATTTAAGTTTAATGTTCCCAACTAGGACCACTCATTTATGCTCTGCTTTTGTTCTTTATGAGAAAGTCACTTATTCAGTTTCAGTTTGATTGCCAAGCCTGGGTGCTAAACTAACTGGGGTTTCAACATTACAAGGGAATGAAGTTATAGCCATGTATTCATTGACTTTTAAAAATCAATATAAAAATTTTATTAAAATTTTAGAAGTTTTATATAAAAAATTCCTTGCCTTTCAGAGGCAAACCCAAAACATCTTCTGATGCTCGACAGATGGCAGCAGCACACTACCACATGAGCTTAAGGAAGGGTGCAGGATCCCATCTCTTCACACCCTCCCAGGTCAGACACAACTCTCCAGACCAGGGTTATCTCTTCAGGAATGCCATGCCCTTGAGTACAGCATAACCCATCTTCACTCTCAAAAATCCAATCGAATAAAGCAATGCAAAAGCCAGTGAAGCTGCATGCATCGTACACGGCTGCAGTGGTTCCACTCGGTGCAAACACGGGCCTATGAAGTAACAGGCGTCACATTCGTGCTGCAAGGAGTGAAACGTGCTCTTGCTCCACCACAGCTTCGTGGGTCAGCACAAGGGTCATGTCCATTGATGTCCAAGCTGCACTGCTGTGGGACTGGACTCAGCTGCACTCCACCAGGGCAGATTTGAGGCAGAAATGAGCTCAAGCACTTTGGGGTAGAAAAGAACACAGGGCTGACCTGGGAGGACAGGCAACTCACCTTTTTCTGGAGCTTTTAAGTTATAAATGGAACAAAGGGCAGGATTTGGTGGCAGTGGCAATGTCTGCTCTTTAGGTCTGGCTTTATCCCAGGCACGTCTGGGAAAGTCACACTCACTGAGTATGTATGAGGACACATCTGTCACAGCCACTGGGTTCAAGCTCTGCTCCCTCTGCCCTCCCCCTTCCTCTCCCAGCAGCCAGTCCAGCATCACTGGTGCGGCACACATCCCACCAGCACAGCCACAAAAGAGGCATCTCCTTTCATCTCCCATAGGCATGGCATCATCTCCTAGCCCAGGACAGAGAGGGGCTGGGGCCAACGCTCCCCTCTGACCCTCCCCTTCTGTCCAGGGGTGAGAACACCTCTTCCCTCAGACACATTCCTAAGGAGCCCCCCAGCCCTGCTCTGTCATCCGTCGTGGCACCAGCAGGGAGGCTCCGGCAGCACAATTCCCGCAGCGTGGGCACTGCCCGGCGGCTCCGGCACAAGGGCTCAGAGAAAACCAGGGGAGTTCCCCCCATCTCATCAAAGTGCAAGGGATTGTTCCGGGTCCCCGCCACCACCAGCTCCAGCAGGCGGACCACACAGTCTGAAAACCAGTTCTTGAGGCGGAAATAGCCCTCCTGGAAAGAGATCCGAAGGCTGACGGGCCCCGTGGGCATCCGCACGCTCAGGCTGAACAAGCAGTTCCCCTGCGAGCTGTCCCGCACCAAATAGGTGCCTACAGGCTCTCGCTGGAGCTTGGCGTGAGCCTCCCCCACAGACAAGGGGCCCCAGTAGAAGTCACTGGCCTGGAGGATGTTGAGGGATCGCTCAAGGACTTCCCACTCGCAGCTGCGAAACATCCGGAAACGATCGGGCAAGCCGGGTGGCGCGGGGCTGGGGAGAACGCTCCGATGCTGCCTTTGCAGACGAGAAACTGTGGTGTGTGTGTTGTGCAGGTCATCTGGCCTCCCTCTGATCATCTCTCAAAGAGCCCATGAATCCTGGAAAGATGCTGCCTTTACCATGCTTCCTCCTTTGCATCCAGCCTGTGGGACAGAAGGAGAGTGAGGCAAACCCAATACCTTCTTCATCCTGGGCAAGACACTTCCCAAGGGAAAAAGACAGCAAGAGTACCAAAGAGGGTACTAAGGAGCTATTGCATGTCACCAACCCCCAGCTGCAGGGAGAACCGAGGATATATGTGCAGAAAGGGCTCCAGCTGGGTCTCCACCAGCACAAGGTGGCACTTTACAGAGCTCTTCATCCACTGGGTTTCTGTGATTCACAGCCAGGGGCTCCTGCATACCCTCCAGCAGGCTAGTTTGAACCCAGCAGATCTCAACATTTCAAGATTTCCCCCTGCTAAACGTTCAGGACTCTTCAGAGTGGCCTTGAGATTGGAAATGACACCACAAATCAAAAGGGAAAGATTTCCAAAAGGAGGAAAGTATCATTTACTTTGTCATTCAGTGAAAGGTAGAAAGGTTTCCTCACACTTCTCCAGCCCTTTCTCCAACAAAAAGATTGGGAATGGGACTTAGCAAAAGCAGAAATCCCAGGAACCACTCCCTTGTCCCACGTCCCAAGACATGCACTATGTCAGGAGAAAGCAAAGCTCTCAGATCAAGACCTCTTCAAGAAATGTTACACTGACTTCAAGGCTGAGACTATCTTGAATGAGTTCGCTTAACACTGGTACCAGGCACTGCTGATGCCCTTCCAGAACAACTCCCCCTGCCTGCTGACAATGCTGCCCTCTCCCAGTCACCATCCTCTAATGTACTCTCACGACCCTGCTCATCTCCTGCACCTTGTTATCGTCAGGCTGTTTTCAGAAATGCAAATTTCTGAACCCAGTGTTGCCAACAGCCATCCAAGTCACTTCAATTATATTAAAAAAATACATATTCTAAATGTGTGTGTCTGTATAGGCACAAATAAAAAACCACAGCCCTAAGCCAGAGGCTCATTCTGTGCGAGAAGCTGAGCTGTAACGTACCACTTCCCCAAGCCTGACAAGTCAGTAGCTCGCTGCCAAACGCTGCCCTCGCTCCCTTGACATACTCCATTAACCCAGTCATACTCACTCACAGCACAGCCATGCTTGGAGCAGAACAGAGTGCTGGCACAGCCTGCAGCAGAGGAAGAGACACACTTCATCTCCAGCAGCCCCCCCCAACACAGACTTGCCAGAGCACTGGGGCTCAGGGCTCGTATCAGGCAGGCAGCCCCCCAGGGAATGTGCAGGGACCTGTGCTGGGCTTGCTCTACAAGGAGAGCTTCAAGTTAAGCTTAGCTCCTTGCAAGGTTCCCCTGTCTCACACCCTTTGCTAGCTACTCAAAAGCCTCACATTCCTTTTGGTGCTGGTGCCAGCTGGGTGGCCATGCTGGTGGCCACACTGTGTGCCCTGGGAGAGGACAAACATCTTTCAAGGGGCACAGTAGTTAGGGAGAGCAGGCAGGCGCCTGGCAGTGCCTCACTACAGACATCTTTTCTAGTCTAACATCTCTCTCAATACTTAACAGTAATACCAATAATGTAGCTGCCAGGCACGTTTCATATATGGAGCCATAAGCACCCTTTCCAAGAGCAGCCTGGGAAGCTTATCCAGCTTATAGCCCTGTCATTTGCAGTCCACAAGCTGCTAATGTCCCTGGTACTGTTCTGAGTGCTGTTGATCCTGCCCTCTACTTAGTTTCATAGTTGGAGGGAAATTCCGTGCTTAGAGAAAGGTGGGAGGGGTGGGAATGAGTTAATCAAGTTGGGTTTTTTCTTTTCCATTAAAAAAAAAAAAAAGGCAGCAGATGAATGCTGCTCAGACCATTCAGCAAGTCAGAATAAATCTTAGGTGAAGGTGATTTAGTGAGGAGGATGCAAACAAACACAGTCACCACTACAGCAACAAGGGCCATCTATCACCACTGAAAACTCAGCACAGAAGGCACCACAAGTAGTTGCAGCATCTCTGTCCCTCTCCTTCTTCTCTCTGCTGGGTGAGGAAGCTATAGGGCCCTCTGACATCAGCTCCTATAGAAAACAAAGGTCATCCACCAGGTGCCTCCAGGGCTGTGGCTATAGCTTCAAAAGAAGTGATAAAGAACCTTCCTAAAGAGCAATTTCTCTTGGATCCAAATGGAAATTTTGCCAATTTCACGGGTCGAGATTGGAAATTTAGTTCAAGCACGAAAACAGAAGCAGGCAGCTGTCTTTCAATTCCAGGCTAGTTTTAAAAATAACAACAAATATATAATTTCTTTAGGGCTGTAGATTCTGTTTGACAGAAGAAAAGCCCAAACTGGTTTGTCCCGGTTTTCAACCTTCAGTCATTCACCCAAGTCCTTTAAGAAAAATCCACTGCTACTAGAAATCTGACTGACTAAGAACTGAGACTGTCATCATTTCAAATTCAAAGTAAATGCAAAAATAGCACCTTGACAATTTGTTCACTTGGTTTGAAATCTACATATAGGTCAGAGCCTCAGATAGGGAGAATTTGTTTAGCTTCAGTGACCCATTTCCAAGAGGTAAGTGCCTGGCCTGCAGCACAGCATCACTTACAGTAATATTGGCCCTAGAAGTGCTTCCTGATTCTAACTTTAAGGTTCACTTTTAATGGGTCAACAAGTCCTAGGCGTACATGGCCTTCACATCAAGGAGGATGTGCAGACCCAGGATGAGGAATAAACCAAGCCAGGGGTGTAATAAAACATACATGCATAATTAGTTCTGCTGACTTATCACACCATGATTTGCTTTTCCTCTTTTCCCCTTCAAAAAAAACCCCAAAAAACCCCAACACCCAAAAAAGTTACTACCTCCCTACTGCAAGTCAGAACAATGCTTGCAGTCAAAGCAACGTACCCTAAAAAGCTGGCGTCCTGCTAATTAAAAGGCTGGATAAGTTTTCCCAGACTTTCTGATTTACTGCAAGTTCAAGAGCTTTTCAAAATAAGTGCTCTTGACACACGGCATTCTGCTTTCCTCCTCACTCATGACCCAGGCAAGGCAGGGTGTTTTATATAAGGAGACAATTCTAGTAAACCAGGGGACTGTACACATCGTGTGGTGTCAGCCAAGCCAACCCTGCACCCTGGGGCTTGACAAATCTGGCATGTTCAACATCAGCCTCAAGTACTCAGCTATGATGCATCCTCGCACTCTTCTTCTAGGACACTTGAAAAAGCTTACCTCTTTGTCTTTGCCACCCATAGGGATGAGTTTCTGAATGTCAGGACTGGAAGTGGTCCAAATTCAAAAGCTCTGATGTGGCACTTCCCAGTTTTTGCACAGCTTTACTTAAGAGCAAATCCATCCTTTGAAAAGAAAAAGACATCCATCAAGCAGGTGACTAAGCCCATTAGTTTGCTGTAATGTGGATCTAAAATACAACAAATCTGGGGACAGGTTGTTTGTCTCTATCTCTTTGATCTGTGTTACTGTAGAAACATGTATACAGCACTTCAGATAGCAACAGAGACAGCAGATTGTTGCTGCTGTTGTTATTATTGCTATTTACAAAGCCATGAGCTGATTAGGTCCAGGCAGCTCACAGGTGGCCCAAGGACAAGTGGAAAGATCATGAAGTTGCCATCATCTTCTGAAAGCAGGAACTATAAAACCCAAAAATTAAGAGATGATGGCAACAGAAATAAACCTAAGGATTCAGAACAGCAAAGTCCCAACTTGTTCTGAATACAAAACACAACATTTAGAGTATCTAATTTGATACCACACAGGTATCCATTCACTGTGACTCAATCTGTTCAGGCCCATGCTCTTCTGCTGCTTCCCCAGCTCTCAAGACTTTTCTTCCTCACCATGCAGACGGAAAAGTAAACCCACTAACCTGGTGGAGCAGCAGACCACCACGTGTGCAGTCACGTGTCTGCCAGTGGATCCATCAGCAAGCTGAAAAAACAATCCCAGCTTTCTGCACGCCTTTCAGAGGCAGGCCCTGCACAGCTTCACTTGTACCCACATAACATTGCTTCTCTGCACCCTCCAGCCCAGCCCAGTCCAAACTGGGCACACACCCCACAAGCTACACTGACTTGCCACTAGCAAAACTGCAGGTCCATCCCATTATTACACTTTCCCATTACTGCTCCATTTGGCTTTGACATCTCCCAGATATCAACCCTGCAGTCCCCAGAGCAGTTAGATGGAGGCTGGGATAATTAGGAAAAGCTCTCCCTGACGTACCCTGCAAGCCCTTGCGACAGCGTCCCTACTGCAGGCAGCAGAGCCGGAGCAGACATCGCTTGTTTGCACGTCTGCATCCCACAGAAATGCGCTGCCTACTGATTTGTGGCTGGGAAGGCTGCTCCAAAGGAAAGCTTGAGCAAAGGGCTGGAAGAAACCTCCCTGGTAAGAGCCAAGCACGCAGCACTGGGTTTTGATGGTAGGCCAGCCTGGTTCTCAGGCCGCCACCACCTGCCACACACCGGCACTGGTTGGAATCGCGCTGTCACCGCCACGGTGCATGGTCACACCAAAGCCCCTCGCCATGAGCACCCTGCCACAGCCAAGGTGACCAGAGCTGATCCAGAAAGGGATCGCGGAGGGGGAAGGGAAAGGAGATGCACAGACATGCCAAAGAGAACAGAGGGAGCTGTGGTTAGAGGAGGAATGTGGCCCAGCTCAGCCAAGAGGACCAGTGTTAATCACAGCCAATTTCTCCAGCACAAAGCAGGCCTTGGAGACATTGCAGTTCCCTCTGTCTTTTATGCCATGGCAGTTTGATGCCATGGTGCCATTATGTCTGACACATGAGAGAATATGTGGGAAAAAAACCAAACCACACCACACATACATACCCCAAACCAAAACTGCATTTCCCTATACAACCAGCATCCAAGGATGCAATATTAAATAAAATAAGCTGAGGCAGCACACACACTGTGGCAGTTCCTATTTCACACAGCAGAGACACAGTGCAGGAAGATCCTGCATGCGGGCTCTGGGAATCAGCAGCTGGACACCTTGCAAGAACACTTGTCTTATCAAACACCTCCTGACATTTTTGGTCTGGAGAACATACTTCAAAACTCACAAATAACTTTGCATGGATCTAATGTTATTGTTTGGTACTTCTTAACATAATTTTCTATGACATGTGTTTTCTGAATTAATATGGCACTTTGCTGATAGGGGCTGAAAGGTTTTTACTCCACCAGAAAAGAAAACCAACACGACTGTGATGTGTGCCAAATACTCTTCAAGGCAGGGTAGTTTGCAAGCACTTTGGTTTCTCCATGACACACATTAAGAAAAACCCACCAAGGTGGCAGTTTAAAGGAAAAACTAATTGTCTTTACTGGACTAACTGAAGGAGCAGGAAGAAAGACATCCATTTTTAGGGTTCCCTCTTCAAGCCTTGGAAATACTATGCACTTTCAGAAATACTTTCAAATAAAAGAGCCTATTCCTCATCTAAATAGCCCAATGTGAAACTATAATCCTGCAATTTCAGAACAGAGAAGCGTCATCACTTCCCTGAACTCAGAGGCTGCTCTGCAGTAGCCACAAGCAACTACAGCTTATTCCACAGCAAGTAAAACTAACAAAACTACCATCTGACTTCTGACAAAAACATCTTCTACTGAAGACTGAATTATTTCTGCCTTCTCCTGTAACTGGGGAAACAAGAAGAAAAAACAGAAAAAGGAAATCAGGAGGAGTTACTACTAAGTTCCAAAGCTGCAGCTGAGCCTATCCTGCTATGGCTTAAGCAAAGACAGTTTTTGCTTGCCTCTGGCCAACAGCATTTTTGGTAAGTGAGGGAAGCCCAGTGGCGTTGCTCCTGACCTTTGCAGTATCACAGCGAGCAGCCATTCCTGTGAATGTCAGCGCTGCACAGCTACACAAAACCTCAGCCCTGTGCTTGGCCAGGGAACACAGAATCGGTGCTGCTGCCTTGCCATCCCTCCCTCCACACCACACACCGGCTCAGGAAGCAGCCCTCTGGAAAGGTGGCTGGAGCTCTCCCCACTTTGGGGGCAGAAACAAGGAGACGGCGAGAGGGCACAAGGAGGAAGAAGAAAGAAGCCAAGATAACAGCAGTTCTTCATGTCTCCCTACTTGAAATGCTCTGTCCCATCTCCCTGCTGAGAGGGGGATCAGTGGGAAGGAGGTAGCGATGCCCAGGGCTGCCTCCAACCCATCATGGCTCCTCAGCATTACCAGCTTCCCCCACCCCCAGACCAGCAGCACAGGTACATTTCCTCTGCCTCTCTCTACTAAACTGACTTTGTTCCAGAACCCTGTTTGAGGAAATGAGTAAATCCTGAGACACAAAGGCCATCAGTGGTCCCTGTGCCGACCACAACCACAGCTTTTTATAAAAACCATCACACTAAGCCTGAAAGGAATTCAAAGAAGCAGCTAACTCTGAGGAATTAGCAGTGTCTGCAGCTAAAGCTGGTTCAGTATCCTTACCAGAACGACGCTGCTAGAGGAGTCTCAGATGATTAACCAACAGGAGCACAGGGGGACAAGGGAAACACCCTGCCTTGGCTCTTCAGGAGGACCAGCTTCAAAAGATGTGAGGAGCCTTTATGCAGCACCAGTTACTGTGCCTTCAGAGCAAAGGGCAAGGGTCAGAAAGCACAGGCAGACCACAACACTAAGTTTTATAGTGGGGGATTTCCAACGCACAAAATAAAGAAACTAGTCCTGAGAGTCAAAAGTACAAAGAATAAAAATTAAAAAATTTAAAAAAAAAAAAAAAAAAAAAGGAAAATTTAGGAAATCTTAAGTTACAGAGCATGCAGAGCTCCCACAAATGACAGCACAGAGATGCTGCCTGAGGCTTGGGGATAATACAGGAAACACTGCAGGTATCATTGTAGGTGCAACAGCTGGCAAGGGCTTCTGCTGTGGATCAGAGACATCAAACACACACACTACAAAACCACAGTCCCTATTCAAATCTCTCTCCAACCTCAATAACCCTTCAGAAGATGAAAAAATAATCCTGGAGGAGCCAATATAAAGGAATATAAATTATTGACAGTAGGGAACAAATTTATATGAGGATGGCTGTCACGAAACTGGGACAGTAGGTGGCCAAGATAAACAAAACAAAACCCAGAAAACATATGGCATTTCCAGTTTATCAAAACCAGAAAACCTCGGGGGGAATCATTTAGTTGAGTGAGATACCAGCTAGTGGGGACAGGGACACTGCAGTAAAGTTACACAAGCAAGCAGGTATTATTTTTTTCTTGTACAGGATGTTGAGGAGATTTCCCAGTATCTTATGCTGATTAACCTGAAAGGAAAAACAAGAGTGTTCTATCAGAAGAGACAGGGAAAAGTGACATTAAAGCAGAAAGCAAGCCGGGCACGGTGGACTATACCTGGAGATTTGGAACTGGAAGTGGATGGTTGAGATACAAAGAGAAGTGTTCTCTCAAGCAAATTAGCTGCACTAGCAATTGCCAGAGTGCTGCAAGTATTGGAATGAACTTTTTTTGACATGTGCTGCTAAGGCAGAAGCAGCACAAGGCTACCTGGTGTGGGGGGAGAACCAACTCCCAGGCAGAGTTCCCCATCAGGCAGATGGCACCTGAAGAAGCAACAGATGACAGGACACACTTTGTGCTTCCCCAAAGCAAGTCAAAAAGCAAGACAGCTACACGAGCTAAAGAGTCAGCAGCACGCCAGGAACTGTATCAGCAGATGGGCAGAAGGCATGGGGCAGTCATGCCACAGGGTGAATGGAAGAGGAATGGCCAGAGGAAACCAAGGCATTTCAGCCCCTGCACCTCTGGTCACCTCTCTGCCACCCTCCCAGCCACTGCATCTTTCCCCTGGTTTGACTCAGCCCACTTTGCAAAGCATCCCACCTCAGTCCTCAACAGGCTGGTGGGTACAAGCAGCCCAAAGGCTCCCCCATCTTTTATGCAAGCAGCTCCCTCTCCCCTGACTGCAAACTCACAGGTTGACCCAGGTCTCTTCCTAGAATTGTCTCTCCATCTTCAAGCTGTCATTACCCACAACACCCCCAAGGCTTAACCTTGCTCCCCAGCAGGCAGCTCACAGCCTCGTGTTACTTAAATCTAGGCAGACAACTCAAAATGTAGTGAGCCCTCTCCATCGCCTTCCCAGGGTAAACAGTGACAAAATCACTTCACTCCCTGCAGGACAGAGAAGTCAGAGGTCATTAAAAATTTGTCAGCAGGAAAGCAGCAGGAGGTCAGGCAAGACTCTGTCCTGACACACGCAAATGCACGCAGGCTTGTGGAAAAACCAGCTGGGTCTATCTTTTCAAGAGCAATAAATTAAGTGGTGCAGCTGACCAATGAGCCGAGTAACAGCGCTGAGGGTTCATTAAGGAAAGCTCCAGCTCCGAATGCAAAAGCAGTCATTTAAAAACCAAGAGGCAAGCGGGACTGGGAGGGTGTAAAATGGATGGGAACATAACAGTAATGTCACCACCTGAGAGAATACAGTCAGTTCTAGTTACCTGAAATAAAAACATACAGAGCTGAAACAAAGAGGGTAGGCCTAAAGATGGGTAATAAGAAGTAACACGTAACTGTACAGAGAGAGACTGGAGAAATTTCTTGCTCAGTTTAGAGAGCAGATATATATATATATATATATATATACACACAAGAGGATGCCAGAGAAAGATACAATACAATCAGGACATTCTTTTTGTATTCTTTCAGAAAAACCAGATGAGAGGAAGTTCAAAGGTGACCAAGATTGAAAAGAAACTAATTTTAAAACTCATAAAAGAAAAAACTCCAATCATGTAGACTGGGGAAAGTGAGAAAGCTGATCTGAGAAGTCTCATTTCTCTTCTCTCTCAAATGTCTTTGCTTTGTTTCTGTGCTGTACACACCACATCATGCTTTAGTAGACCTTAAGCAGAGGAATCCAGCAGCAAAGGGCTGGGTTTTTGAGCTACACCTTTTTAAGTCACCTCTTAACCATTCAAACCTGACATAACAGTAAGGGGAGCCCAGCACAAGGCATAAATGCCCTTTGTGCAAAACTGAAGTAGTAAACAAGGGCATATGAAGTCAACATGAGGAATCAACTATGGACCTGCTGCAGAGTTAAAATAGCTCTGTCCATGTTTTCCTCATTCTTTGATGACTAAAAAGAACAGCATCTCTTCTTTGAATTTGCTGACTTGAATATCAGCATGCCCCCTAGACAAACAGCAGATTTCACTCTTTACTGCTAAAGCAGTAAATGTTTCTCCAGCTCCGACTTCTCTCCTTCCACACCAGAAAATCTCACCAGAAAACAAGGAAGGACTAAAATATGGATAAAGAACAACACTGCTGGTCTGTCAAAAAGCATAAACAAACCATTCCTGCACACAATCAAACCTGTGCTCATCATCACTAGTGTGCCAACCAAGGCAAACTTATGCTGAATCCCCTTAGCTTCTGCAAGGCACCTTCAGCAGGATGTGCAGAAGCCCAGCTACACAGTACAGACTGCAGATCTCTGGCATTTTCCAACTGCTAACAGCCACATTCATTTTCTTAGCTTTAGCCTAAGTTTCCAAATAAACTTTGCTACTGAGGAAGTACGAAAGTAGATCCAAACTGTTTCTGAACTGCAGAATCACATACACGCAAAAAATTCCCTCATTGCACAAGTCATAGTCTAAAGTCAAAATTTTTCTTCAGCATTTGCAGGGAGTGAGGGGAAGGACAAAAACCCTCTGCAACAAAGGCAAGTGAATGCTGCCAGCTTAACCCAGCCACTGATTGCTCCAGTACAAAGCTAAAGGAGCCCATCTGCAAACTTAACAGTGGCACCACTCGATTCTTCCCCTCAACTTTGCAAGTGTTTGTGAACAACAGAAGCACACAAAATGCAGGAGGAGCAGGAAGGGAGAAGGCAGAGAGAATGTGCATTATCAAAATACCTTGAGAGCGGTTCTTGGAAATGTGCAGCCTGCAAGCCTGTATCAGACACTCATTTCCTGTGAAGTGCACACAGGCCTTTTCATTTCTCCACTGAAGAGGATGGAAATAAGGGGCAGCTCTGAACTCTCCAAAGACAACATAAACCAGCATTTAACCATTCTACTAAAACTGAATTTACATTTTCACACTCTTAAATACCTATTGAACAGAAGCATTGAGTTCCAGAAGTTTAAAAAGTAGGATTTTCTACACCTCTCACTTCTAAATCTTAACTTGAAATCTCACACTTGGTGAGGGGCGAGGGGGGAGAATTCTACTCGTCATTTTGACCACTCACTAACACAAAATCACCAAATCCTGCTACAGCAAACACCACTGCACCTTTTTTTTAAAGGCTGAGACTGATTTCAGCAAAATGGTGAGCTAATAAATACCTTACTGAGGCAGAAGGATGCAGGATGTGCACAAATGCAAACCAGAAGTGTAGGTTGTAATGAAGTAGACCAAAAGGGGATAAGTTGCTATCATACCTGACTCTGCCTTTACTTACACGTAATCAAGGATCTAATTAATGTAGCATTTAGTTGCATTATTTTAAATAAATATGCCTCCTAATGACATATACGCTTAACACCTTTACTCTCTAAAAAGATATGGTTCCTGTATGGCTTACTCAGCTCTCACACCATCCACATCTTAAGTTACAGAGATGCATGTGCCTTCCTCTCCCATCTTGAGAGCTTTTGGCAAGCACCACCAGCTGAGGTCTGCAGCGGCCTGGAATAACAGCTCAGGAACACACCACCTCCCCACAGCTTTTATTAATCTAACCACAGTATCAACCCGAACCAAATGATGTCATATTTAAGTATTGGCACTATCTCTTTATTGCTGACCAAACCAAGGTTGGAGAAATCAGGACAGAGAAGCCTTTGGGTGGCAAGGGGAGAGCGGGTGGCAAGGAGCTGCAGGGAAAGACTAGGAGAAAAGAGCAAAACATTCCCAGTGGGGACGGAGAAAAAGAGAAACAAGAGAAAAAACATAGCTCTAAAGGCACATTTTCTCCTTTGTTTCTCAGCAATGCAACCACAGTATTAGTGACAGCAATTAAGAATTTACACCACCCAACCCCAGCTCTATCCTTGCGCAAACCGACCACCAACTTCACAGAAATCCCAGCTGCACTGAGGAGGGTAAGAGGCACTGGCTGCATGTTTGAAGCTGTCATCTGGAAACTGAATTTTGCCCTCTCTGAGCAGGCACAGACTGGGGACAGAGACACACACTTGGGAGGATCTGAAGAAGCTCAGTCTCTCCCCACCACTCCTCTGTTCCCATTTTTGGGGACCCTAGCACAGTTTACCTGTGTAGTAGCATGAGCTGAGGTTTACGTGGTAACCATTCCAAAATTCTCAGTAACAGCACGTGCGTTTGTGGGAAAAAGTGAGTAGCAGATCCTGCATGGCTGTGGGCACCATGACTCAGATTGCATAAAGAAGGAGGATTTAGCGATAACCTTTGCGACGAGGCTTTTCATGGGCGCGCAGCCCTGATCTTCTGAGAAACGGCAGGTGTGAGGCTGCGCTCTGACTGCCAGGTCTGGAGGATGGCGAGCTTCTCCGCCCTCCAAGGCAACCCCAAACGGGCATGTACCCCCCCGGTTCACAGTCACCCCTCTTCCCTGTAACGCCTTCGCTTCTGGCAGGCAGCTCCCTTTTCCAGCTAAGTGTAACACTCTGAGCATCGCTTCTCCAGGGTTTTATGTGAAAGAAGAGCTGTGAAGACCAAGTTACCCGGACCTGTGCGACTGCTTCCCTACAGACCCATCTAAGACATTACATAATTTGCAGATTTCACTTTAAAAGAAACATCTCCCTGCCTTGACGCTGTGAAAAACACCTTGACAGCAGGACAGTCCCATGGAGCGTCCCAGGCTACTCCCAGCACCCCACCCCAATACAGCACATGTGCCTCTTCAAGAGCGGCAGTGAGATGCCAGCACCCCAAATCTCCCTCGACTCCTCGGGAACAGCCCCCCAAACCCCAACACGCTCCTTCTTCCCAGCCAAGAACGGCCCCAACGCCCCCAGCAGCCAAATCAGCGGGGTCTGCACCCCCTCGCAAGCCAGGGGGGATCGGAGCAGACACGCAGACGGACAGACAGACAGACTCCTCGCAGCCCGCCCCCCAAAAAGGCCGTTTCCAGTTAACGCAGCACAACTTACTCTCGGCACCTCCGGGGCCACGGGCGGGCGGCGCTGCCTCCGGTGCGAGCGAGCGCTCAGTGCCGGGGCGACAGCGGCGCTGCCTGGCCCGGCCCCCGCCGCTCTCCCGCCCCGAAGCCAAACGGAGGCGGCCCCGTTCCCCGCCGCGCTCCGCATCCCCCCCCGGCCCCTCTGCTCACAAAGGGGCCGGTGCGCGGCTTACCGGGGGCGGCGCGGCTGCCCCGCCGGGCCCTCCTCGGCCGCGGGGCGGGCGGGCGCCGCGGCGGCTTCGGCTCGGGGGAGCGGAGCGGCGCAGAAGGGAAGGGAGAGGTAGGAGGGGAGGAAACCCCCAAAATGTTTCTTTTCCGAGGAAGGAGCCACGGGGGGAGGGGAGGGGAAGGGGAGGGGTTTCTCCCTCCTCCACCACGCCGTCTTTCCACGGCGTGGCTCTTGCAAGGGAAAAAAAAAAAAAAAGTAAAGAAGAAAAAAGTTTGGGTTTTTTTTAAAAGAAAACTTGGACGGATAGGGGAGAGAGAAAGGAAAAAAGGAAAGGGGAAAAAAAAAGGATGCTGTGAAAGCCTCTCCGCCGCAGACTGGCAGAGGAACCCCACCGGGAGGGCACCGCAGCATCCGCCAGCCCCGGGACCCGCCGGAGCCACGTGTCGCCCCGGGGAGGCGGCGGCCCGGCCGGGGTTCTGCCCCTCCTCCCCTCCCTCCCTCTCCCTCCAGCGTCAGCTACCCTGCGGCGCGGGGCTGGGGCATCGGGGCTCGCGAGTTCTGGGGAAGGGGCAATGTCCAGGGCCGAGGGGGGCCGGGGAGGGGGCGCTGAGAGCTCTTTACACCAGCGGAAAGCAGAGCCTGCCCCTGACCTTCACTGCCAGAGTTCCCCCAGCTCCTCTCGGACACTGCAGGAGCTCTCAGAAGGACACCGGGCACCCTGGAAGCACAGCGCGTGTGGCAGGGTAATACGCATTTAAGGAGCGTGCCACGAAACGCACGCTGTTGCCTTGGTGGTTCAAATTAAAATACTGGAAATCATGTTAAAAATTACAAATGCAGAGAAACGTTATGATATGAAATATAAATAGTGCACAGCATGGTGCATACTGTAAATATATTGCTGCTCAGAGAGAATAGATGTAATAGAAGAAAAGATAAACTTTGGAATTCAGTACAAACCTCACAGTTTAAAGGCCTAACCTGTAATGAAGCTATGATTTCATCATGTAATCAGAGCTCTCATTCACCTACATACTTTCTTTAGATGCTGCACACATTCCCTAGTGTGTGCATACCAGGTGAATTCTCCTGTTGAAAAAGCTCTATACAAACCCCAAACGCAGATGTGCTCTGGCTGCTCTGTACCAGCCTAGTGATGCAAAGCAGCTGTAACTCCAGCTTGAGCAGCAGACTAAAAACTTTACAGCTGCTTGGCATTGCCAGGGAGCATAAAGCAGTCAGAAACGCCGCTGAATCTGATCCTCAGCCTTGCCAGAAGTTCCACTGAGTGTTGAGACATCAGTTCTTGTTTTTTCTTTCAACCAAGCATGAAGATGTTGCTGACCACAGAAGAATTTCTGAACTTCCATAAGAATCTGGGCAAAGCACTTTATTCTTTTTCAGAGCAGCTTCAGTGGGAGGACCTGCCGCTGGAGCTCTAAATCACAGCAGGGATGAAGTACTCATCTGTTCCATTTTTGGTTTTTAAGTAGGCTTGTCACACTTTTCCTTGTATTTTTGGATGGCAGCTTCAAAAATATCCTGTGGTTTGCTTTACAGTTGCCTAGTAGGGAGTCTGTTTCCCTCTGTGGATATTTATAACATTTATTGGGTGACTTCATAGACTCTTCCAGCCACCTTGCCTTATTGTTAAATGGCCTGGTCTAATTCTACCTTTTAATCTTCTTCTTCATCTTTGCCTGTGAAAAGTTAACATCCAGCCTCACTGCTCTGAGATTGTCTGTGGGTCTTGCTCATTCTTCTCTCATCCACTTGAAACTGTGACCTGGCAGCATTACAGATGAAGCGTATTGCAGCAATCGTCTTCAGCCGTAAAAGCCAGTGAGACATGTCACAATGGCAACATTGAGCGCAGCTTTCCAAAGCTCAGATTTGAACCACAGGGTCCAAAATGTCTTCAGGATCAAGGTACCTCTGAGGTGGCTTCATTATAGGTGGAAAAGACAAGGATGCTGAAATAGCTTGTGTCCTGAAGGAGGGGAAGGCAACCACCTGAAAGGCTTTGTGTAATGACAGTGAGAATACAGGCAGGCTAATTTGAACACTGCCCACTGCTGCCTCTCTGGAGAAAGCAGGATCCCTCCTAAAGACAGTTTTTGAGATGCCCAGGATGCTGATGACAGTGTGACAAGGAATAGCTCCCAAGAAGGTGTCAGGATTTGTTCTTAGGATTTACAAGTTTTATCCTACCCCTCATTTTTTCCCCTGCATATGGATACATATACCCTCACTATCCCAATACTAAAACTTTAAAGCACATTAAACATGAAAGCATTAATTGATAGAGCTGCTGACAGAATTAACAATTTCCAGAGAGTTTTGTTTGAAGTCCCGCTGCTGAGAGCAGTAGGTCTGAGTTCATTCTACCTTTGGATCATAGTTCAACTTTGTGGTGTTTCTCTGCTTTTCTTCAGCAACCTCCAAGTCTTTGCCAAGATGTTGATATCCAGCAGCCCAAGAGCCAGTAATACCCTAACAGTTCTTCAGCAACCTCCAAGTCTTTGGTAAGTTCCAAGATGTTGATATCCAGCAGCCCAAGAGCCAGTAATACCCTAACACCTTCACTCCTTCTCAGCATGCAGATTCCTTACATCTTGCATAAGGCAGAAGGAGCCACAGTCTGCCTATTTACTCCTGTCACTTTGGGAGGTGTGGGAAAAAGAACGGTATTTTGGGGCAGGTCTCATTGCAAACTACTGAATAAAGATGGTTTTCTGGGAAAGCAAAAGGCAAACATTGCCTCAGAGGAAGGGAGAGGATAATATGATGCGGGAAAAGAACTGGTGGTAATGAAACGCTGAAAATCTGCATAAGAAAGGAAAAAAGATACCAAAAAAACAAAGGAGAAGAACATGGAGGGCAGAGAGGAGGGAAGATGAGTGAACACATTAAATCTAAATCATCCAGTACTGACTTGCCCTTCAGGTTTGCAGACCTGTGTGTGGAAGCTCAGCTGGGGCTGGAGCACCAATTCCACATCACAGGTGACCAATTACTTAGGATCTCAGTGCCTTTTACGGGCCCCCACCAGACCCAAACGTGCTGTTGCCCACTGGTGTGGACACTGACTTTCCGGATGGGATGTGAGTAGGATATGAGATTGCCCTGACAATGTAGCTGACCAAGTGGCCCAGACATGGAGCCCCAAGGCTGGGGGATTCCTGCCAGGTGGTTAAATGGCAAGGAAAGGGAGAGAAGAAAGCAAGGGAAGGCCTGGGTACCCTGGGTTGAGAGGTGATGCAGGCAGTGCCTGAGATTTTGTACAGATAGGAGGATGGAAGGATGCTTGTGGGGTGGGTAGGAAATGCTGCCACCATCTCCTGATGTGCTGCAAGTCCAACCTGCAAAGAATACAAAATGTACAACGTTTGATTGCATTCAGTCTTAGGCAGTTTTTCCCTTTTGACCTTTCCTCCCCTTTTGAGGTGGTCTCTCTCTTAACTTGCTAAAAGCCTCCTTTTAGGAGATGCTAACAGCGAACCATTAAGAAGGAGGAAAAAAACCCAGTAGCACAAAAAGAGAAAGCCAGGAGGACTAAACCAACACACAAAAATCCCCCAGCCCTGTTCCTCTGTTCCCCCAGGAAACAAACAAACAAACAAACAAAAAACCCCAAAAAACCAACCAAACAAAAACAAGCAAACTCCTTCAGTGGTTTAGAGCGAGCAGGGGCTGGTTTTGTTCCTCTCTTACGAGAAAAATCAGCACAAGTAGTGGCCCCTTTGCATGAAGCGGTGGCAAGGCCCCTCCTTCCTCTACCAGAGCAGGGCTCTTCTCAGTAACGAAGAGAAATTGCTTTCCAGGAAAGCGAAGGTACAGGGGCAGCCCGGAGCGCGGTGACCCAGCGCGGCTGCGGGGAGCCGGCTGCTGCGGCTTGCGGGCTGCCAGCCCCGGCACGGAGCGGCTCCGCTGCCGTGCCCGGCCGTGCCGCGTGTCCCGGGCCATGGATGGAGCGAGGGCAGCCGGAGCCAGCCGCGCAGGGGACACGCCGAGCCCCGCACCCCATGCGCCTTCATGCCCGTGTGCAGCACCCTCTGCTGCCGCGGCTTTGCCCCACGGCCGCCGCAGAACACGAGTTCTCGCTCGTTGCCAGTCCATGCCCCTGGGTCACTCGAGGGAAGTGAAGACCCAGCAGACAGCGACCTTCTGCGTTTTCAAACAAAGCATCAGGCTGCATAATCTGGAAGGTATTTAGGTCAGATTTAAGCAGCTGCCGTCTTTTATAACTCTACAGCAAGCCACTCCCTCACCTCTGAATCTTGCCTACATGTCAAAAACCCTGGAGCAGTAGAGGACAATCTGGGATGGGGGAAATGAGGTACCGGCCTTCCACGCCACTGGACTCAGCTGTGAGCTCCTTGAGGCTCTGCGGCCACATAAATCCATGACCAGCCCAGGTGACTTCTCCCAGCATTGCTGCCCAACAGACATGGAGGTGGAAGCTCAGTTAAGGATTTCATTGTATCCTTGAGGTCTCTTGTCGCGCCTTGTTATCCCACATTTTTAGGAGGTGTTACTGGAGACCGAAATGGGTGGATCTTGCTCAAATCCCTTTGGTCAGAATCCTTCAGTTGGAACATGTAGCTCAGTCCTGCCCATGCCTTCTGAGATTTGTCCCCCCCACACTGAGGCAGATGGTGATGCTGAACCCCATTCACAGGACACAGGCACTGAGCTCACTCACTTCAGGCATTTCTCCAAAGCAGACAAAAACAGCCAGGAGAGGCTGTTTGCAGGGAGCGAGCCGAGACAGAGACCCCATAGCAAAAAGGTCCTCAGTCTGTTGGACCTACAAACAGGGGCTTCCTCAACTGAGGAAACCAAGCCTATAATGAAATAAAACAATGTAAAATGCAAGGACTATAGCTATGGACTATAATTTTGGGAATCGTTGTAGCAAAAGC